CGTGTGAATCCTCTCACCCTCCCACCTGTGTGCCGTGGGGCTCTGCCGTGCTGCCCATCCTGGCGCGGTTCCTGGCTGAGAAGAGCCCAACCCTCCTGCTGCCCGTGTCGGGGCTACGTGGATGCTGAGGGGAGCAGGAAAGCAAAGCCCTGTGCCCTGCTGCGACGTCGCCGGGGTTTAGCAAACCCGAGGTGGTGGCAGCGGTGTGAGCTGGGGCTGTCCTGGCTGTGCAAAGGTCTCTGCTCCTGGGATGAGCAGCCTGTGCTTCAGTTTCCATGCTGTCACGCTAGTCTCACCAAAGGGTGACTCGCGCCGGAGAAGCTGCTTTTCCTGGTCAGGATTTTGGTCTCCAGAGCCAAGCTGTCCTGGGCTGCTCCCACTTGGCCCTTGGGCTCACGTGCTGAGCCCCTCTCCAGCACTTTGGGGTCTCATTTGGCGTCTCAAAGTGCACCCAGTGCCCTGTACCTCCAGCCTGTTGACGGTCCCTCCCATCCCCCAGACCTAACCTTCATCTTCTGCTGAGGGCAGGGAGGTGCAGCCAAATCCTTCTGTTGTGCAGACTTTCATTTCCATAGCAGTAGCCATGGATACAGACTGTTTGTGCAAATAACCAATATTCCCACCCACACCGATCGCTGACCGTTGCTGGCATGGGTGCCGGTCAGCCCAGGGCTTGGTGTCCCTGGTAGTCTTGGCTTTACCTGCTGCTGAAAGTTTGCTTTCCCACATGTTCTTTAGGGCTTTGCTAAAACAAAACCCAACTTTGTCAAATGGGTGGAGTTGTTATTGCTTTCAAAACACTTGGATTCATCCATGTGACTTGTTCACTGTGGCAGAGGCGAGTGGTGTCCTCCAGCTTCTCTCTTACGGTGCTTGAGGGTGAAAAAAACCATAGTTCCTAGAGCAGGACAGTACCCTGGTTGTGTGTGCAGGCTCTGTCTGTCACCTGGGTCCTCTGTGCGGGTGATGTGGGGTCTGGCAGTGGGATTTGCATCCTGGCATTGGCTAACGGGGCCGGCAGCAGACCCCCGGCCCCGTTAGCTGATAGGAAGCTGTTGCATTTCTCCACGTGTCTAGTTCCTGTGCAAGAGAGTGGTTTGCCTTGGCAGGGAGGTTGTGGAGGTAAAACCTAGATGCAGTGAATTGGACTTGAGACGCTCTGAGCTTGAAGAGCTCAGTGAGATGTAAGTGAAGGAAGAAGCTGTTTGGAGCATAATATTGGGTAGCAACACTAATGAGCGAGGCTGAGATTGCATTTAAATGTTGTTTGCTGCTTGGGCCTCCAGTTTCCTCTCTTTAAAGACTTGTTGGCTCTTAATGAAAGCTGTATGAAGTGGCAGAGCTCCCCTAGCACAAACACAATGCTTAAACCCACAAATTTAGTCTGAGAAGAGCCAGCGTGCTGCAAGGCTTTGCCACTGGTGTGACTGCTCTTAACAAGGCTGTGCTGGCACAGTGTTAAGGGCTGTGATTTACTCCCCACTTGCAGTTATACTAGTAAAGTGTAAGGTATAAGCCAGCCTTTGCCTTCTGCAGCAGAGCTCAGGTGGGAGAGCTGGCATTCACATAGAACTGATTTCCCTCCCCCGCCCCCATGGACTCGCTGCTAATTGTGCTTTTAGTCTCTGCTGCTTTGGCTGTCAGAGCCTGGGGAGAATTGCCTGACAGTAGCGCAGGAAAATAACCCTCCGCTTCCAAGTTCCCTGCGAGCACCTGAGAAGGCACGTGCTCGGTCTCACTCGCACGCCTGCGCTTTGCTGGGAACAGGTCCCTGAGCTGGCTCCCAGGCAATGGGCTCAGATAAACGTGGTGCACTTGACGGGATCCCAAAGCACGCGAAGCCACAGCAGTGCCAGCATCGCTGCTGGTACCCTGCGGTGTGATAGGTCCCGGTCATGTTCCTAAGGCCTTTACTATCCATATAAACCAGACCTGTTCCTTGCCTGCACTGAGTTAGTGTGGACATTTTGTAATGCGTCTGAAAAACCCACTCTTGCTTTTGTCCCTTTTGGTTAGGTGAGAGGATCCTGGGCTATGCGGAGGAGCCTTGCTACCTCTGGTTCGTCATGGAATTCTGCGAAGGCGGAGACCTCAACCAGTACGTGCTCTCACGAAGGCCCGACCCAGCGACAAACAAGAGCTTCATGCTGCAGCTGACCAGCGCCATTGCCTTCCTGCACAAGAACCATATTGTCCACCGGGACCTGAAACCAGACAACATCCTGATAACTGAGAAGTCTGGCACCCCTGTTCTCAAGGTGGCTGACTTCGGGCTGAGCAAGGTCTGCGCTGGCCTGACTGCTCGGGGCAAGGAGGGTGGGCATGAGAACAAAAATGTGAATGTGAACAAGTACTGGCTGTCTTCGGCTTGCGGCTCCGATTTCTACATGGCACCCGAGGTCTGGGAGGGACACTACACCGCCAAGGCTGACATCTTCGCCCTTGGCATCATCATCTGGGCCATGATTGAGAGGATAACGTTCATCGATGCGGAGACCAAGAAGGAGCTGCTGGGGACCTACATCAAGCAGGGGACCGAGATTGTGCCCGTCGGGGAAGCGCTGCTAGAAAACCCAAAGATGGAGCTGCACATCCCTCAGAAACGCAGGACTTCCATGTCTGAGGGGATCAAGCAGCTCTTGAAAGACATGTTGGCTGCTAACCCACAAGATCGACCTGATGCCTTTGAGCTTGAAACCAGAATGGACCAGGTTACATGTGCTGCTTAAATTCAGGGCAGGGCACCACTGTGCGTTGCAGCTGGGTAAGTGATCTGCAGTTTTTGTATTATTCTGTCTGCTGTACCAGCCCAATAATGTACTTCGTAGTGACACAAAGGAGTCTTTTATGTTCCCAGAGCTATTTCTATAGTGACTCATCAGAGCACTGCTCCTGAGGTTTTTTTTTTTCCACCTATTCTACTGCAAAAAATAAAGTAGAGGTGGGAAACAGAATTAGCAGCTGCCTGTCCTGCTGCTGCCCAGAGGCGCAGCAGAGTTGGCAGGGCTGGGCAGGAGCCCTGCTCCTCAGAGGCCCTGGCCAGTGGCTAAGGCAGGCTGGTGCATGGCAGAGAGACCCATGAGCATCCCCTGACATCAGGTGTGGGTACATCCGTCTCTCCCAGGGGCAGGGAAGGAGCTGCCAGTTCTGCCTCCTCTGCTGCGTGGTTCAATTTCTGCGGTCGGTGCTGAGAGCACCTCGCTGTCTAGCCCAGGCACCTTCCCTTCTGAGACTGACAGGACAGCTCGGGGCTCGGCTGGCTCGGTGAGCAGGCACCGAGTGGAGTGGCAGGTCTGTCTCAGCACGAAGCTGTTTCCTTTGCTTTCACCTACGAGGCACGTGGGTCTGTCTCGTTTCGTTTCCTTGCTGAAGGCAGGACTTCCTTTTGGTGTGAACTGCAGTTGTCCAAACCCAGTAGGATGCTTTGGTCTCCAGCGTCTGAGTTTGTAGACCTGCGTCTGCTCAGGAAAGAAGCTTACACAAGAGCTGTACTCAGACTGAGCTCACCTCCCTTCAAGCAGAGTCCCCTCCCGTCTCCCCCCAGCTTGGTTCCTGAACAGTCCCAAGCTCCGAGGTCCCATTCCTGAGGCCTGGGTGGTCACACATGGTCTGGAAGGATCCCCAGGGACGTGGGGTAGCTGGCAGCGTCACTGACCAAGGCCACAGAAGGACTGGGAGGTGCTGCCTGCATGGCAAAGCTGTCTGTAAACAAGAGCTGTTACTAGGGATTCTCCTGGCCAAATGCTTCAATGAAACTGAAAAATTACAGATTACAAGGAGCGAGGCTGATGTCTTCCCAGCCCAGGTCCTTCTCAAGCTCCTGCAGAGCTGCCTGAGTGTTGCTGGTCACAGACCTCTGAAAGCCTGCCTGTGTCAGGTGCTGGCATTGCAGCTTGGGCTCCCCAGCCCTTTCCTCACCCTGAAATAGCACAGATGCTGCTGGACCGGAGCAGACTGCAGATACAAGAGAGCAGAGAGGGATGAAATGGCTGCCGTAGCCCGCAAACACCCGGCCTTCAGACTTGCAGCCGATGGCCGGGCACCCACCCTGAGAGCCAGCCTCCGGCAGCAGGGCGGTGGGGAAGGTGGGGGCGTTTTGGCAGGCTTTGCTAAAAAACCTCCTTGCTGCCCACCTGAGGGTTCCCCAGCATATGTAAAGCGATGTGCTGCCCATCCCTTCTCTGTGTGTGTGCCCAGATAAGCTTTGTGCTGTTTGCAGAGAAATAGGAATATGGAAATGGAAAGGCCCATGGGGTAGGTCTAGTGTTGTCACTGCTGGTTTGTCCAAACTGGTCCACAAACCATCCCCCCCACGCCCCGGCGTAAAATATTTAACGCCCTTAAGATCTCCCGGTGCAAGTAATTGATGTGACTGTTTCTGCCTGGGGCTGGGGCTCGCTACTGGTCCCAGTGTGGGCTGGGGATTAGGGTGGGGGAGTGAATCTGCAGAAATGTGAGCCCTTAAGATGGGTGTGGTAGTGCTGGGGCAAGAGCAGGGCACCCCACCTCGTGCCCCAGGGCAAGGCGGGGGTCTCCTCCTGCTTTTGGGAGCAGCTGTGCTGCGTGGCAGAGGGTCGGGTCCGGGTTTGCCGCCGCCGTTGGCATCTGCGATATCTCTGTGCTGACACGATAGCTCTGTGCTGACACAATGCTGCTGAGTTATGCAACCGTGCCCTCCAGGGAAAATTCATCCTGTGCATATCTGCAGAATAGTACATGCAGGGATAACAAACACCAAGGGGACAGTCCTCCCCCGGGGCTGTTTGCTTAAAACCCAGCTGCCTTCTGCAAACCCCGTTGCCTCCATCCGTGGCCGGAGCCAGCCGTGAGGCTGCACCGATGGGCTCCGTCACTGCCACAGCTGCAGCAGAGATGGATGCGCTTGGATAACGCAACCTGGCATACATAGCGTGGCTGCTGGGCCCAGAGAGGAGCCCGGCGCCGGCCATATGTTCGCTGCAAACCCAGAGCCTTGTGCTGCGGGGAGCGTTCGTCTTGCTTGTTTATGGGGCAGCAGAATATTTGGTGTGCTTTCCTATAGGGCTTTTCCTCATGCCTTGTGTATTTGTGCATTCAAATCAGCCTACCTCTGGCTGTTATTAAATGCAAATCTTAAATTGGAAACCCGCTTGAGAAGCTTAAAATGGGATTTAGAGCAGGGCCTGAATTCTGCTCTCGGGTAGTTTAAGTTGACTGAAAAACTCAAGTAACCTCTTCCAACTTAACTGTGGGGCTGGCGCGTAGCTCGTAGTGCTGCTGGGTCGTGCAGTGAGTTCTTCTTCCCCAGGACAGCTTCAGACCCTGCTCAGCCTTGGTTCATGTCATAACCTGGAAAACCGTAACCCTCCCTGACCCAGGCAATGTGATTTTTGCTTATTTTTTGGTATGCCACTGGTGTCTTCCAATTTTGCTTCATGTCCCAGCAGTTCTGCCTTTAGTTCTGCTACGGATGCTGCACACACCTGCCAGTCGGCAGGCTTCATGCTCTGTTACCCTTCCAAAATGCAGATATTAAATGTCAGTTCTCAGCCAGGAAGGTGTTTCTGACTTGGTTTCTGCTGGACATGGGGGTGTCTGGGGTGGAGATGAGCCTGCTTATCTCCTTGCTCCCCTCACCAGCGCTGCTGGTGGCCCTGGGGCGGTAAGCCCAGGAGAAGTGGGCAGCATTTCCCTGGGCAAAACAGAGGTTTTTCTCTTTCTTATTTGAACACTGTGCTACCCGGCTTGCAGCAGGAGGAGTTCAGCTAAAGCCTGAGGCATGCCTTTTGGGCAAAGAGGACAAAAGCCTTTCTAATACAATTAGGGAGTGGCTGGATTGTGCTGGGTACCTGCTGATCCTCTCTTGATTGCCCTGTGATAGCCCAGCACTGTGCCTGCACCGCACACTAAGGGCTATCTCACCCCTCCTTGTCCGTACTGGAAGGTTGGGGCTGCTCTCCTCTCTCCTCCTTTCCTGCAACCTGAACATCTTTTTCTTGGCATGGCTTTTTTGCTCTCCGAGTTCCCCAGGGCAGGCGCGGGACCCTCGTAGTGGGTTTGTGCAGTGTGGATTGAGCAACCCTTCGAGAAGTTGCTGAAGAGCGAGGTACAGCGAGAGCGTGTTGCTGGAGCGGCACCAGTGGTCATGGCCACGGAAGCAAGGGGAGCAAGTGGCAGCATTGCCCGCCATCTACAGTTAAACATTTAGGAAACTTTATAGTTTTAATTCATGTAGGACATCAAACTGCAATGGTTGTGATCCATGTAGAAGGCTGCTTGTTCTGGTAGATCATATTCTGTGATATTTTTGCTGTGGATAAAACAGCCTGATTTTTTGGGGTGGATGCTCAAGGTGGATGGTGGGAATCTATGCAGGCTGCAGCATCTTGGGGGCTGCCTTCAGCAG